AATATTATGTATCAATAGCTTGGAACACAGCATTTTAGCACCCAGCTTCCATATTGCACTGCATTGGCTTTGAATGAGATGTACAGCACAGAAACAGAACCTTCAGTCTAACCTGCCCATGCCAATCTTATTCTTAAATTAATCTAGTCCCATTTGCCAGCATTTGGCCCATATCCCTTTAATCCCTTCCTATTCATTTACCCATCCTGATGCCTTTTAAGTGCTGTAATTGCACCCACCTCTACCACTTGCTCTGGCAGTTCATTCCATACACGCAACACCCTCTGCGTGAAAAAGTTGCCTCTTAGCTTCCTTTTAAATCTTTTCCCTCTCACTTCAAACCGATGCCTTCTAGTTTTGGACTCATTTACCCTGGGGAAAGGATTCTGACTATTCACCCTATCCATGCCCTCATGATTTCATAAAGTTCTATAAGGTCACCCCTTAGCCTCCGACACTGCAGAGAAAATAGTCTCAGCCTATTCAGCCTCCCCGTTTTGCTCAAACCATCCAACCCTGGCAACATCCATGTAAGTCACTTCTGAACCCTTCCAAGTTCCACAATATCTTTCCTACAGCAGGGAGAGGAGAATTGAACACAGTATTCCAGAAGTGGCCTAACCAATGTCCTGTACAGCTGCAACATGATCTCACAACTCCTACACTCAATGGACTGACCAATAAAGGCAAGTATACCAAAGCCTTCTTCACTACCCTGTCTATCTGTGACTCCACTTTCAAGGAACTATGAACCTGCACTCCAAGGTCTTTTTGTTCAGCAACACTCCCCAGGACCTTACCATTAAGTATATAAGTCCTGCCCTGATTTGCCCTACTGGGCAGGACTTAAATACTTAGGGTGATATATGTACCGAATGAACTGCCAGAGGAAGGTATGTCCACAGCTGGTACAATTATAACTTTTAAAAGTCAACTGGATGGGTAAATGAATAGGAAGGGTTTAGAGGGATACGAGTCAATTGCTGACAAACGGAACCAGATTAACGTAGGACATCTGGTCGGCATGGATGAGTTGGACCAAAGGGTCTGTTCTAAGCTGTACACTTGTGTTCTAGTTCAAAAGTGTACCTCAGCCTTTTTTTGTGTTCTTCAATTAAGGCAATCTTAAAAAAAATGTCTTTAAAGAGCTTCAAATCTAATCAAAGAGAAATTGGCAGTTTTCTGAGATCTGTACAACTGTACTCACAGAAACAAATGCTACTGAAAGCTAAGAATTTCTTCCTTTGACTGAACTCTCTGTTATCTGCTGCCATCAGTTGGTTTTCAATTAGTTGCCCATGAGAAGGTGGGGGTGAAAGTACAGTGATATTGCTCCAAGTCTGGATGGTGCGTGACTTGGAGGGGAACCTGTAGGTGGCTTTGGCTGCCATTGTCCTTCTAGGTGATATAAAGGTGGAAAATGCGAGGAAGCATGATCACAGTGCAGTGCAATCACCCCATGTGCACCCTTTTACTCACTGCCCTGCAGAGGATACAAACAAACCCCAACCACACTAGCATTCCACTGCTGCCTTTCCTCTCCTTCCCACTACCTCCGCCGACCCCCAAAACAGCATTAACGCTTTTCCTTACAACTATGCACCAGCAGGTTATGATATAAAAGTGGTAAACCTTATAGCACAAAAGGAAACATGGCTATCAAAATGTCTAGTTGTTTACTTCCTGCAATCCTGACTTCTACCAGTACAGGTATTGCATCACTACTTTACTCAGCACACCATCACCACCACGTGGCAGATACTGCAGAAATGACAGCATTGCAAAATATGCACAAAATAAGACATTTGTTTCACCAGTTCATGACAGTCTCAATGGCTACTGTACTCAATCTTTTTTTAAACACTGTGTAGTGTGACGTGCCCCGAGCTCCTTTAAATCAAGGCACCTTTTCTGGAAACAAGAAAACAATTTTCTTAGTCAAGCTCTCAGTATGAATGCAAAGGCAGGATGCATTACAGGATGTATAAATGCTTAACAAAAAGGGACTTAGGCTCCCCAGTGCACTGACAGATCATCCAGGGAGATAAATCACAGTGTCATCTATTTTTGGATGAACCAGAGCGCCAATTTTGCTTTCCCCCAGCTTCCTTTCTGGTCTCAACAATGCCTCTCTCACTTGACTTCACCTGACGAAGGAGCAGCGCTCCGAAAGCTTGTGATTTGAAATAAACCTATTGAACTATAACTTAGTGTTGCGTGCCTTCTGACTTTGACTCAAAAGGTCATGGGTCTGAATCCCTATCTACAGATCTGAGCACCAGGACATAGGTTATCACTGTGATATTAGATCAGTACCAAGTGAGCTCTGCATTGAGCAAGGCTCAGTACCAAGGTAGCACACAGTGTTGGAGGGGCAATATCAAGGAGGTGCCACACTGTTGGACTGGCATTATTGAAGGAGAAATGCACTGTTGAATAGATAATATAGAGTGACCCTGTGTTTGAGAGATGTGCCTCTTTTCGGACAGTAAATTAAACAAAAGCCAATATCCCACCCCTGCAAAATTCAATAGCTTCTCCCTGCAAAAGCAGACCAGAAAGGATGCCCAGCTCTGGCATGTTCATACTTTATGTTCATATACGTTCATACACGTTGCCCTTTAATGCTGCCACTGAAATCACTAACATTATCACTGGCACAGTATCAAGGCAGATCAATACTCGGAGTGACTGAGTATTTGAACTCAGACATTTGCTCACCTGATCAAGCAGCAGTTGAGCTAGCTCTGTATTCTGGCCTCGTAATTCATTCAGCTTCTTTATCAGGGTGTGACTGAAACAACACAGGAACAGATTAATTAATGAGTGCAATCTCCACAATTCCAAAATAACCATGATCTGGGTTTGAAATTTGTGCTGGGAGGGGGCCTGAAGAAATAGAGATATTGAGAGAGGTGAGACACACAAGGGCCGGGGGGAGGGAAGAGTGCAAGAAGGGATAAAACACCACAAAGGGAAATGTCACCATGGAATACAGATGGATGGAGACGCAGGTAATAGGTATCCTGTCGTACATCACACATTCACATGGGGGAAATGATGACCTAGTGGTACTATCTATTGCTGGACTGTTAATCCAGAGGGCCAGATGATGTTCTGGGGGCCTGAGTTCAAATCCTGCCACGGCAGATGGTGGAATTTGAATTCAATAAATATCTGGAATTAAGAATCTAATAATGACCGTGAATTCATTGTCGGTTGTTAGAAAAACCCATTGGTTCACTAATGTCCTTTAGGGAAGGAAACTGCCATCCTTACCTGGTCTGGCCTACATGTGACCCCAGACCCACAGCAATGTGGTTGACTTGCAATGGCCTTCTGGGCAATTAGGGATTGGTAATAAGTGCTGCCTAGCCAGTGATGTCCTCATCCCGTGAATGAATAAAGGAAGCTAGTACTGTGAATTATATGAGCAGCAACTAAAGACACATAGACACCAATGTATCACACTCAGGCTCTGTCACCTCACCTTCTCTCTCAGGGCATTTATTTGTGCAGAACCTGGGTGCACTCCTCTTCCACACTCTGCCCCTGTACGACATGATCTGGTCTGGCGCAGGCCGTAACTCACCTTGCATTAATTTCCAGTGTCGGCTGCAGGATCTGAGCCCGTTCCTCACTGGACTTGGCAAGCTGCTGCGTGCGCAGGAAGTGCCGTGCAGCTCCCATCTCCAGCACAGTAACCATGGCAGGGTGAGTATCCAAACGTGGAGTCAACTGGTTAACACAGGAGAGAAAACATGTATTGGTTTGGTGACACAACCTAATTTAAGAAAGAGACTGAGGTCCTAATGGAACAGTCACTCTCAGCATGCGGACCAAAAACTAGGCTTCCCACTTTCCAGCCCTCTCTTTACCTGAGATTATCTGTCCCCAATTAACTTTTGAAAGTTCTTGCCCAATACTGTCAAAATTGGCCTTCTTCCAATTTAGAACTTTAACTTTCAGATCCAGTATATCCATTTCCAGAAGTCTGTTCGGGCCCATAGAGTACACACTGACCATCCAAAGCCAAACTATTTCCGTAGCCCCATATTTACCTTGGCTATCCCACCTAAGCTGAACATCTTTGAACTGTAGGAGGAAACTGGAGCACCCAGAGGAAACCCATGGAGACATGGGAAGAACGTGCAAACTCTACGCAGGTAGTCACCAGAGGATGGAATCAAACCGGAGTCCTGAAGCTGTCATGCAGCAGTGCTAACCACTGTGCCGAAAAGTGGCAAAGCAAACGTAATCTGAAGCTGAGAAAGACAACACATCTGGCAAGGCTAAACCATGGGAACACAAAATAAGTGCTGGAACATAAGTGCAGAAGATAGGAGGTTTCTTAAGATCGCATATCCAGAGGTACTTAAAAGTAGAAGAGATTGATAAATGTGTTCAGAAGGCATTGGGAATCTTTATTTGTCTAGGTACAGGATGGAAAAATAGTTAATGATAAGAGTCATATAAAATTATAGGCCATAACACCATAGTTAGACTACGGTGTACAGAGTTGCTCATTCCATTACAGAAAGTATGTGACAGCATCAGACAGCGTAAAGTAGATTTATGAGGATGTTGCCAAGAATGGAGGATTTTAACTGAGGTCAGATTAGATAGGCTGGGGTTGCTTACTTCGGGACAGCGGAGGCTGAGGGGAGATTTAATCAAGTATAAAATTGTTCAGGGACTGGATACAGTGGAAAAATCAAGCTTATTTCTCTTAGCAAAGAGTTTACTAACTAGGGAGAATAATTTTGAAGTAATTTATAGAAAGATTAGATAGGAGTTGAGTGGAAATCTTTTCATCCAGAGAGTGATGGCTGTCTGCAACTCACCACCCGAAAGGGCTGTAGAGGCAGAAACCCTTGTCATATTTTAAAAATATTGGATAAGCAGGTGAATTACTGAACAAGGGTTGTTAACTGCAATTAGTTAAGAAGCGCTTTTCTGACCATCACTGCCACAACAGATCCAACAACCACCTGTGCTGCAAATTTTCAGTCTTCGTGTGGCGCAATAATCTTGCTGTGTACACTCAGATGAAGAAAAGCTGCTTGATTGAGGTTTTTCCTGGTGATATTGCTCAAGAACAATGACATTAACTCTGGCTGTTATAGTCTGCTATATGCTTTAGTGTTCAGGGTTGGTCCTGCACACAACGTCAAACTGGAGCACTCAGTATCATCAACCTGATGCAGCTCCCTGATTCCTCTATCTCTAGCCAGGAAGAGATGCTTATTACAGTCAAGAGGGAATGCACTTGAACATGTATTTATCTTTTGGTGTGTTAAGAGTCAGAGAAAGGGAACTATGAGAAACAGGAGGAAGTTGACTGAAGGAAAACATAGTGTATCCAGGACACAGCGAATAGGGAAAAAAAGCACCCCAAGCCTGTTCCAGCATCCAATTACATTATGGCTGATCTGTATCTTGACATCATCCACATATATTCCTATATTCCTTAGCACTCTTGGCTAACAAAATTTGGTAAATCTTGGATTTAAAATTAATAAAAGAGCTAACATCTACTGTTCAGTGGATGTGAATGCTGCTGAGGAAGCTGCTAATTTCACCTTCAAGGTGGCGTTTATTTGCCTTCTGAAACTGTTGCAGTCCATGTAGTGCAGGCACACTGCTGTAAGGAATGGAATTCCAGGATATGACCTGGTGATATGGAAGGATTAGTGATAGTTCCAAGTTAGAATGACAAGTGACTTGGAGTAAAACCTGCAGCTGGTGGTATTTCCATATGCCTTTTGCCCTTTTTCTTCTGGGTGATAGAGACTGCTGATTTGAAAGGTGCTGTTGAAGGGGCCTTGGATGAATTACTGCAACACATCTTGCGATGTTACACACTAACTGCCACTGTGCAATGGCGATGGAGGGAGTTAATGTTGAAGGTAGCAAAAAGGTGCTGATCAAGGGGTTTGGGATATCTGGTTGTGGGGTGGGTGTTGAGTTTCTCGTGTTGTTGTTGAAGCTGCACCAAATCAGGTAAGTGGGAAGTATTCAATTACACACCTGATTTGTGGATGCTGGAAAGGCTTTGGGGAGTCAAGAGGCAGTTATCTGTAGCAGACTTCCTAGCTTCTAACTTGGTCTTGAGGCCACAACATTTATGTATTTGCCCAGTTAAGTTTCTAGTCGGTAGTAACCCTTGAAGTTGATGATACAGCAATCAGCAACATTAATCACACTGAACGGTAAGGAAAATGGCTGGATTTTCTCTTGTTGGAGGTGATCCTTATCTGGCACTTGTCCAACATGAGTGATATTTGCAACTTAACAGCTCAAACCTAAATGCTGTCCAGATTTTCTGCAGCTAAGCATGAGTTGCTTCAGTATCTGAGTTGTCATGAATGTGCAATGTTCAGGACCAATCATTGAATATTCCCACTTCTGTCTTTATGAAGGAAGGAGGTCATTGATAAAGCAGCTGAAGACCTAGGACATTATCTGAGGGCCTCCTACTGCAATGTCCTGAGGCTGAGACAATTTAACTCATACAACCACTAGCGGAGAGTTCTGCACATTTACCGCCCTAAGGGAAAGAGAAATTTCCTGACATCGCTCCTGCATGACCTGATTTTATTAAGGTTTTCACACAGCCCAAGGCTCCTCCATTAGCAGGATAGGTTTCTATCTACCTGGTCACTTTCAAAACACTAAAAACCTCAATGAACTCACTCTTTGTCCTTCTATATCCCCAAGAATCCAAGCGCAGTTTATGTAATCTCTTTAGGGTATGTCTAAAAAAATGGAAACAGCTCTAATGCCTTCCATGGTTGTGCACATGCAGCAAGACCATGGCATAATCAAAGGAATCACTAGATAGGTCACTCTTGACATTGTCCATTACAGAAAAGGATTCACAAGGACTGAAACAAACACTAGTTCAGAACTTACCATTCAGGGAATTCACCTCGGTCCCTTTGAAAATGCTGAGCTAACGTGGCAGTTTTTGAATATTACCTTAATGTTTGCCACTCGTTCTCCAAGTGCATTCCTCATCCACGCCACTAGCTCCTCAGATTCTGACTCAGACAGGCGCTCTGATGCTGTAAAAGGCAAAAGAGTCAGTGGAACACTAGCAGTGACGAAGTTACTGAAGTAAAATGATTAGAGAAACAGTGTTTTCTGTAGTTTACTCATTGTTTTGTTCTGATGGCTTCATATTTAATTATGCTTATGGACTTGAATTTGAAGGATTGTAGAGATACCTGGATGTTTAAAAAGGATTTAATAAAAGAAAAGTAGAAATTTGTTTAAACAAGGCATTTCTTGAAGGCCATATATTTCAGATAACTGTTGATCTTGGTCACTCGGACTCATTTTAGGGAGTACACCTGACTGTTTTTAAAACTAGGTTTTATGACAATTCATTTGATTAGTATTTTGCAGGTTGGGGATGATTGGGAAAGCCTATTGCTCAGCTTGTGTCTCCTGTTACTGAAGCACCTTTGTGAATCCAGTATGAAATCTAATTGTTCTCATCCTTTATTTCCCTTCAGAAATGAATTATCGAACAAGTGTTTTTTCTTAAAATGAATCGCTGCAGAGTGATGTCTGTTTTTTCCCGTCCATTCCTGTATCAAATGGGTCAGTGCAGATCTGTGATTATGTAGGAGGATATACATTTATTATTTTCAAATTTCAAACAGTATGTTTTAACCAGTCCTGCAGCTTTGTGGAAAAAGTCATATAATAAATTTATTACAAATTAATAATTTCGTGCTCATTAAAGAAACCTGGTTGATTGATCCTTTATTTTAAGTCTAATATAGAGAAAGTATATGAATGGCCATACAGGAAGCTGGATAAAACAATTAGATTGTTGTTGAAACACAGAGTATGGGACTAAAGAAAGATGTCTTAGCCATAACAGTTTGTTTTAAAATGTGACACTCATTCTCTACATCTATTTTTCCAGACTGAAGCGGATTCTGGCACCTCCTGGCAATAGATCAGACACCCAGTGAATGGGAAAGTGGCAAGAGTGAATAGGAAGTGGCACACATACACACGCAGATGTAGAGTGACAGAGAGAGACATAGAAATAAAATGTTACTGTTTGCTCACAATGGGATTAATCACTAGATGTGGGTCCAAGTCAGTCTAAACTCTACTTCAAGACATTGTACCTGGCCTGTTGCCCTCAAACTTCTCCTCCTTATAATGATCTACCACAATGTCAGTCTCCACAGAAATTAGCTTTTTCCTGTCAAATTCCCGTAAGTGTAGTAGAGTCAATTCATCAAACTGGTCGTAGCAAAACAGAACCTATCACAAGCAAACAAGAAAAGCACAAGCTAAGGTTAAAAATGCTCACAAAGTATGGCACTGATATACACAGTTGAAATATAAAACAAAGCTCAGTTCTCTAGCTGCTTCAGTGCATAAAGGCATCCATGAGGTAATCATTCAAACCAAATGGAAAAGTTCCAAGCTACTCCCTGGACTGTATGGGGAGACTGGGAAATAATTAATTTAAACCTATTGGGGCATGGGATTGGGGGTGTTGGGGCTGGTGTGGAAAACCAGATAGATCCACAATCTGTTGTGTTGAGACCCTCACATAATGCTTAGCTAACAAGGGAATGGGGTGGCACGGTGGCACAGTGGTTAGAACTGCTGCCTCACAGCACCAGGGACCCGGGTTCAATTCCACCCTCGGGCAACTGTCTGTGTGGAGTTTGCACATTCTCCACGTGTCTGCGTGGGTTTCCTCCGGGTGCTCCGCTTTCCTCCCACAGTCCAAAGATGTGCAGGTTAGGTGGACTGGCCATGCTAAATTGCCCGTAGTGTCCAGCTTACATGGAAGAGCAGCAACAAAGCATCAATCTGCTGAAGGTGAACACAGGTTTTCTTTTTGATTTATGCTGTCAGTGCAGCTGAACAGAATTTGAGTGCTGATGGAAATCTATTTGGTAAAACAAACAATATCAAAGAAATCCAATAAGATATGCTGACACCCAACATTAGATACAACATTCAAGAACAGTGAGGGGAACAATAACAGGCAAACGTTTGGAAACTCTCGTCCCTCCTCCTCACCTCCATTTCTTTCTTCTTCATGGCTTCGAAGTATGGCGAATATTCTGCCAGATGACGATTTGGGGCACACAAATAATAAATATTCCGGCTCCCTGCTTTCATTCGACTGGCATACTCAGGTAGACTGGTCACCTGACCCGCCGGCAGCACAGATGATTCAAATCTCAGCAGTTTTCCAATATCTTCCTAGATACACAAGGGAGACAGTTAAAATAGCAACTCAGCCAAAATTATAAAGACAGCCTCAATGGCCTCAGGCACAGATTAAATCAATGCAAAAACCAGAAAACCTGAATTATGCAGAATAGGAGACTCAAGCTGTTTTGATAACCAAAGTGTTGTTGAGCAGTATCCTGAGCTGGGTTGAGTCCCACACGCTTGATCTGTGAGACACCCAAGCAAGCACAGAATCCAGATTTGTAAAACCAGAAAACTATTACAGAACAGGAGAGCGTGCTGCCCATCAGGTCTGTGATCATTTTTTGGATTGCTGGCTCTCAACCCCCAATTTTTTTCTCCTTAAAATAGTCCTGTCCTCAGCCACTCCCTATGGAAGGATGTTGTTAAAATTTACGGGGTGCAGAAGTTTCTGTGCTGTATAATTCTACAAGGATGTTGCCAGTGTTGGAGGGTTTGAGTCATAGGGAGAGGCTGAATAGGCTGGGACTTTTTTTTTTACCCTGGAGAGTCAGAAGCTAAAGTGTCACCTCAGAGATTTACACAATCATGAGGGGGATTAATAGCCAAGGTCTTTTTCCAAGCGTGGAGGTGTCCAAAACTAGAGGGCATAGGTTTAAGATGAGAGGGGAAAGACTTAAAAAGGACCTGAGGGGTAACTTTGTCACGCACCACGTGAACGTATGGAACAAACTGCCAGAGGAAGTAGTGGAGGCCGGTACAATTACAACATGTAAAAGGTATTTGGATGAGTATATGAACAGGAAGGGTTTAGAGGGATATAGATCAAATGCTGGCAAATGGGAGCAGGTCAGAGCGGATGAGTTGGATTGAAGGGCCCGTTTCCACGCTGTATGACTCTAACATCTTTCCTGCATTTCCCTATTTAGTTCTGTAGAATTTAATTAGTTTATAGGAGATCTGCTCTCATTCTTCTAAACTCCAGTGAGTAAAGTTCTAACTGATCCACTCTCTCATTACAGGTCAGTCCAGCTATCCCAGGAATCAGTTTGGCAAACCTTTGTTGCACTCCATACCAGAACATCTTTCCTCAGATAATGTGTTCAAAACTGCACACAACATTCTCAGTGTAGTCTCATCAAGGCCCTTGCATTAAGGCATCCTGCTGCTGTTTTCGAATCCTTTTGCTATGAAGGCCAACATACCATTTTCCTTCTTCACTGCCTACTGCACCTGCATGCTTACTTTTCAGTGAATGATGGACAAGGACACCCGGATCTCATTACACCTCTCTGTTTCCCAATTGGAGAACATTTGCCCACTCTCAACCTGCTCAAACTCAGTACAATACTTTGGTGAGACCACACTAGGAGCACAGTACATAATTTTTGGTTTCCATATTCAAGTTTATACTTGCACTGAAGGTTCAGAACCTACAATTAGAGAAAGACTAAATTGAGCCTGTAGTGTTTTGGAGTTTGGAAGAATGAGATGTGATCTTGCTGAAACCTACAAAATTTGATAGGAGCTTGACAAAGTAGACATTAGGAAGTTTTCTCCCCACCTCGGGCTGATTAATGCACAGCAAGAGGACACAACTTCAGGATAAGGAAGTCAATCATTTAGGATTGGGACAAGAAAAAATAAGAAGACTTCATTCAAAAGGTTTGGAATTCTTTGCCTCAGTGGGTTGAAATTTTGGCCCTACATTGAAATACAAATCACCTGTACACACAGACTTCTACTCAAGGAAGGGCTGAAAAGTCATTTAGAAAATACACATCCCTGCACCATACAAAATCAAATCAGGAATTTCAGTCATTCCTAACCACCGACGAATCAAGAGCTCAAGCCAGCAAACCTTCACGTCCTGCTCAGTAGTTGTCACAATCCCCTCACGCAAGAACAATCCATAATCCTCATAAAACTTCATGAACTTTTCAGGCTCTTTTTTCCCCTGGTCCAGGAAGAATTTGATGAGTCGTTGTTGCAGAACATCCCGCAGCTTCCTGCAGACAGCAACAAAAATCTTTTGAGTTACACATCAGCCCCAACTGTGTGGCTGAATTGCTTCTGTTCTGGGTAAATTCATTAAACAAGCCAAGTTCTCCCAATCTGACTTCCAGCCTATAATCAGTCAGCAGAGGGCAGCAGTGAGAGCTTTAAAACTTGTAATTTTTCATAAACCGAATGAAAGTTAACCCTAACTTTTTGGCAATAAAGCCCAAAACTTTCAGAACCAGCGTATAATACTGGGGATGAAATGTATATAGTTGCCACATTACAAAATGAATAAATGCTGGATAATTAATACGATTTCTTTCGTATAGCTGACTTTTATGATACTTCATAGAGAATGTTATTTTTGGATTTGGGCCCAAATCAAATACGCGTGCCAAACCCTTGAAAATATTACTCGTTAGAAAGCAATCCTATGACTTCTAGTGTAAAAAAAATTACTTTTACATAAATACACATGGTTTACAGAATAAAGGTCACCCTGGAGCAACTAACAGACTGGAATCTGTTCAAGGACTTCACAGATCAAACAATACACTGGAATTATTTCCTTCCAGGACAGAACAGCCTGCTTGATTCACAATCCATTGACTCCTTAAATCACCAGCACACAAGCGGCTGAAGCATATGCTGTACACATTCCAACCCTGCGTACCTGATGAGCACACTCTCCTGTAGCAGCTCTCTGCTGAGGTTCAGTGGGATATCTTCACTGTCAACAACACCTACAAGCAAAGGAAATGGTATGAAAAACCATGTTTAGTAGTCCTGATTAGCAGATAACTGACTAGAATCAAACTTTAATCGCTATAGTGAGGCATTGTAGACAGTGCAAGTTTAGGCTGCTACAGTCACTGTAAAAGAAATTGGACTTTTTATTTAAGATAATAAAGTGTAGAGCTAGATGAACGCAGCAGGCCAAGCAGCAGGAAAGCTGACGTTTCGGGTCTAGACCCTTCTTCAGAAAATTTCTGAAG